CCTATTGGACCCAAGCTGGACAACAAAGGCTAAATACAGGAGAGATGCTGCTGTACTCCGGTCACGAAGTAGAAAATGCTCCATACTCTCAGGGAGTTGCTCTGACGCTATCCAAAGAACCACGTAATACAATTACAGGATGGGAATCTCATGGATCCAGGATCATCAAAGCCTCCTTCAAAATAAAAAGAAGGAAATCACGAAGAGTGTTATCCAATGTTATGAACACATCTATGATAACAACGACGACAATAAATATCAGTTCTACTCGAGGCTGCAATCGATCATGGCGAAGTGCCCAGGAAAGGATTTCACTATCCTAGTGGAAGGTCTAAACCTCAAAGTCTAAATGGGCAACACCAGATACAAAGATATTATAAAACGACATGGACTGAGAGAAAGGAACGAGAATGAGGAGAGATTTGCATTCAACTATATTTTCACACAAACGTATACACAAAGCTACATGAGTCTCACTGGATCACACCACGCAGAACCAGATAGATCATATTTGTATCAATAAAAAATTCAGAAGGATAATGGAAGACGTGAGAATCGGGAGAGAAGCTGATATAGCTTCAGATCAATACCAATTGATGGTTACCAAGATGAAACTGAAGCTAAAGAAAAACTGGACAACTGGAGAAACAGTAACACAAAGGTATAATATGACCTCCCTACAAGATACTAATAAACTCAATGAATTCAAGATAACTCTCAACAACAGGTTCCAAGCCTTACAAGATCTGCTGAAAGAAGAAACTACTGTAGAAGAAAACTGGAATGCGATCAAGGAAGCACTAACTTTGACATGTCAGGAGGTGCTGGGCTGCAAGAAGCGCCATCATAGAGAATGGATCTCTATGGGAACCCTAGACAAGATTCAAGAAAGGAAGAACAAGAAGACAGCAATCAACAACAAACGAGAAAGTCAAGGCACAAGCCGAATACACTGAAGCGAACAAACAAGTGAAGAATAGCATTATAGCCGACAGGCGGCGGAAAAGCTGTAAGAGAAGGAAATACGAGACAACTATATGACATGACGGAGAAACTGGCAGGAAAATATAGTAAACCAGAGAAATCAGTCAAGAACAAACAAGGCAAATCAATCACTGAGATTCAAAAACGGAGGAATTGTTGGGTGAAGTAATTCGAGTAACTCTTGGATAGACATCGAGGCAGCCCACACAGACCTTCCAATAGATGTAACTCCTCCAACAATCGAAGGAATCAGGATGGCCGTCAGACAAATCAAGATTGGGGAAGCAGCAGGCTCGATAATATACCAGCTGAAGCTCCAAAGTTAGACATAGAAGTAATTGCAAACATGCTTCACACTCTATTCAGGAAGATTCGGGAAGAACAAATGCCGACGGACCAGAAAGAAGGACACCACATCAAGATACCAAAAAGAGATCTCAGCAAATGTGAGAACTACAGATGCATCACACTACTGTCAGTACTAGGATTTTTCAACAGAGCGTTGCTGAACCGGATGGAAGATTCAGGAGACACTCAACTTCGAAACCAGCAGACTGAATTCCGTAAGAATCGGACGTGCACAGACCAAATCGCATCACTACGGATCGTCGTTGAGTAGTAAATTGAATGGAACTCGTCACTATACATCAATTTCATTGACTATGAGAAAGCATTTGACAGTGTAGACAGTAGAACATTGTGGAAACTTGTTCGACACTATAGTGTACCTGAGAAAGTCGTCAACATCATCCTGAATTCATACGACGGACCACACTGCAAAGTGGTGCATAGAGAACAGCTGACAGAATCATTGTAGGTGAAAACCAGTGACAGACAAGGCTGCTTACTGTCTCCCTTTCTCTTTCTTCTGATGTTTGACTGGATTATGAAGAGCTAGACATCTGAGAGGAAACACAGAACATAATGGACAGTTCAAATGCAACTAGAAGATTTGGATTTCATAAATGATCTAGATCTTCGACCTCATACACACCAACAAATACAGATGAAGACAGTCAGTGTAGCAGCAACCTGTGAAGCAGTAGGCCTCAATATATATGAGGAAAGAAGTAAGGTCCTCAAATACAACACGGAGAACACCAACTCAATAACACTTGATGGAGAAACTCTGGGAGAGGTGGAAATTTTCAAATACCTAACTGAATTACATCATCGATGAACGTGGAGATCCTGATGTAGACATAAAGACAAGGATTGGCTAAGCAAGGACAACATTCCTACAACTGAATAACATACGGAACTGAAAACAATTGTCAATCAATATCAGTCACAATCTTCAATATGAACGTCAAGACAGCTCTATTGTACGGAGCTGGAACTTGGAGAACTACAACAACCCTCATCAAAAGAGTACAAGTACTTATCAGCAATAGTCTATGCACGATTCTCAATATCCGTTGACCGGATACCATGAACAACAGCCAACTGTGGGGGGGAACAACCCAACTTCTAGATAAGGAGGGAATTAGGGAAAGAAGATGGAAGTGGTTAGGACATAAATTGCTGTATCACGAGGTAATCTCTAAATTGGATTTTTGAAGGGAAACGGGAAGGAGGAAGGTCAAAGAACACACTACATGGAAGCAGACATCAGGATAAATAGCAACTGGAAAGGATTGCCTGGGACAAAGTTCAGTGGAGAAAGCTAATGAGAGGCCTATGCTCCTCTACAAGGGGTAACAGGCGTTAGTTTTTCAGTTATATTTCTGTCTGACCAATAATGACAATTTTATGGGGCGAATAATACCATTAACTCAGATGATTGACATTCTTTAGCGTTTAAGTGAGTTTCACAAATTTGTTGTTACTACTACTTGCTGTTTTATATATGCGTCTAATTGCAGTCCTAAATGGATTGGATAATAAATTTGGTATGATTGTATCACTTTCCGTGAAGATCTTTATTACCTTTCATCGGCCTATACTGGACAAAGACCGAGGAAGTTTTATCGACGTTGTTTTACACTTTATCTAGAAAACATTTCTAATATTTTCTTCCATTATCAGGACTGAAAATGATTCACGATATCTGCACCCATACAAATGCAATAACTACTCAAAGGTTGTATGTAGAGATTGACAGGAGTGATGTCTGCAAGATATAGCTGTAATCTTAGGAAAACTGATACTCCTAATGGGATTCAGACCCGCGACATTCGAAACCTCATTCTAATGTGTTTATATCAAGTCATTCGGGTGGCGATTGACCTTCTATAGGACTAGGATATTTACTTTGCAAATATCCATTACTAATGACTGTCAACTAGTACGAAACCGGGGTCATGGGAACTCGTTTTAACGATAATCAACAACTACGTCAAATCAAAGCATAGTACACGAGATGTTGAGATACCTAAACTTGTATCCACATTGAAACTCGACTTATAAAATCAAACCAGCACTACTTAGCTTCTAATGTAAACTATTTATTAATATATTGAATCATTTTGTATCGAAAATGTCTCGGCTATGTACTTAGTGGGATTACCAACTTATTCATATTGTTGTCTTACATTAAACTTACGTTATGAATAATAACTAACATGAAAGCACTTCTACCTACTGATCTACCCTTTTTATTTTAATGCGCTTAGTGGCTAAGGCAAGAGGTTAATTTCCTGGTTTACTGAGTTGCCCCAGAATGCCCTGGTAAGGTCGAAAATGCTCTCACATCGCCACACGTATATAGCCTCCACAAGGGAAGTCCTACTCACTGCATCCTCACAACACGGGTGTTGTCTACGAAATTCAGAGGACGAAAAGCGAATGTCCGGTGCTTTAACCGGGTTGATGGACACGGTGAGTCCACCTACGGGAGTTGAAAAACGCTCATTCCAAACCAACGGTGCACATCCGCTCCAGGATCCTGAGGAAAAATGGCGTATTAGCCTATTGTTGGTGACCGAATACCATGAGACTGTATCTCCTCATCTTGCTCCACTGCCTTGTGGATCAGACCTTTAGGTCAAAGACTCCGGGTGTGACCTCCTAAGACAACCACCTGCTTCGACTTGGGCACCCGGTCAGTATCACAGCCCCCACACAAATCTCAGTTAATTTGTGTGGCGCATATATATCTGGTGCCCCCCCCCTGTACTAATAACTATGTGTTCGAAAATATAAGTAAAAAAGGTAAATTGGGCGGAAATGCGGTAGTAAATGTGGAAGATTCGTTATCATAGGTGTAGAAATCATGACGTATACTAATTATGTGGTTGCTTAAAGCATGATGTTAAAACAATACAGAATGGCCATATTTTGTGACGTAATGGTTAAAAGTGAAAAAATAGTTATTATGTTTACCGTTTTAACAACTACCTACAGATAAGTTGGTTATCGATTTCACTACGTCTTTTAAAATATTTTGATATCAATAGTTGAAATCACGAGTCAATTGAAGCTAGACCACCATGGAAAACTTGGAAGCATTGGACGGACGTTTCGTCCTAGTGAAGTTAGACATTAAAACCGTTAGATGCCGGCTCAGTGGTCTAATAAGCCCTGGCGCGCAAGACTGATGGGCCCTGGGTTCAAATCTCGCGGGGGGCGGGATTGCGGATGCGCATTGTTGAGGAAGCATGTACTAGGACGAAACTGTTGTCCAGTACTTCCAGGTTTTCCATGATGGTCTACCTCCAATTGACTCATGATTTCAACTATTGAAATTATTAAAATCTCCACAAAATCTCTTATATTTTGATATACTATTAAACATCAAAGAGCATTGAAAAAAAAACCTTGATATCTGTTATGCTACTACTCATTAACAATACAAGAACTGAAGATTGTAGATTCAATATTCCTAAAACATCAAGGAATTCTATACTAGAACGTAACTGACACTCAGTATAACCCTAGATTTAAATCATGAACTTAACAACAACTTAAAGTAAACCTTCATAATCATCGCAAACACATAAACAGTTACATCACTTTTTAAATCATTAACCAGTTGTGTATCTAAAAATGTAGAAGAAAAAAACATACATCAAAACGAATGTTACAAAATTTTTTTTTAGAAAAACCAAACCAAACAAAGTTCGTATACAAAGAAAAACAGAAGAGAAATGAGGGAACACATAGTATATAGTAATTACAATGTTTAATGTCTAACAAACAAGAAGAATAGTCAAAAATGAACATATGAACAAACAAAAAAAACGTTTGTTATTCACATTATATAACATAGACATAGAGTACATAAAGATTACAAATGGAATAACCAACATAGTGATTTATTAGAATTTATTAACAATGATTAAACAATCACGTAAGATATGCCATCAAATTAAGAAGTGACCACACACACACACACACACATTGGATTATTTATATGCATCCATTCATCCATCCATCCACCCACACATACACACACAAACACGCCCCCCCCTACACTTTCACTTTCCCCTCCCCTATCCTAGTAATAAATGTATTCAAAACATTATACTTCCGTTGGAGTATATTGTGGAACTTTATTCAATTGTTCTTTTTCATGAACAATAATATTATCATCAATTTTTTTAGGTGTATATTGATTTGAATTAGTAACATTAGTGTTCGTTTCCATTGGTGTATTAGTAGTAGTAGTATCACGTGGCATATTTCGTACAATACTTAATGGATAAATTTCTGAATCTTTTATACTAGTTGCATATTGATATGCTGGTGGAATTGAATTCTCTGAATAAATTGGTGCAGATGGAATTGCTGGTCGTTGACGTAAATTCGCTGTACCACCTTCTTCTAATCTAATAAAACCAGATGGATTTTTATCAAGATTATTTAATTTGATTATATCATTTGAATGTTGTTGTGCTGGTATTGTTGTTGCTGTAGTAATATAACCATCAAAATCATGATATTTATTATTATGTAATTTTGGTGGTGGTGGTGGTGGACCACGAAAATCAATACCGATAAACCGTTTTTTATAATCCGCAAATAAATTACATACAATTTCTACAGTAATTAAATCACCAGCATTCATTGATAACATACGTAATATAAAATGTCCATCTTTTCTTAAAAATTCATTCATAAAACGATCGGTAAGTAATGCCATTTTAGGATCATTACGATCATAAACATCAGCAATTTTTAAAAATCTTTTAATAAAATGCCTTTGACGTTGTTTTAAACCCATACGATATAACCATAATGGTATACTCAATATAGTTAGCAACATAATGGAACCAAGAAAAAAAAATAAAAAAATATAAATTTTTTCATTTAACATATTAATTGGTAATACACATTGTGCAAATAATGTATTACTAGCACCAACATGTTGTAGAGTATGTCGACACATACCGACTCTAGGAAAAATTTGTGTTTCTGTCCATTGTTTACCATTTATTATATCAGTTAATAAACGATAACCAAATAACCAATAACCTTCATATGAATTAAAACGTAAAAAAAAATACATTAAATATAATTGAAAAAAGCCAATAATTGAATATAAGATTTTAATAGTTAAATAAACATAAATTAAATTGTTGCCATGACGTTTACCAGGCATAAATGATAATGACCGACGAAATGAATGATTCAATGTATCCATTGTACGATATTCACGACGATTAAATAATAATAATTCTAATGTTTTAGCAATATGTTGTACCATTTTTTGACGTTTTTCACCATCTTCTTTAGTAATTAAATTAGCTTGACGTATTAAATTTTGTAAATCTGTACCAGTACGATTATAGGTGAATATACTCCATATAATACGTGGAATATAATATAGAATAGCTTGTAAACCTAATACTAATGGTACCCATTGATAATAATCTAAGGAGAGAAAAAAAAGAAGAGAAACAATCATTTAGATAAACAATATTGATTTATAGAAATATAAAAGTATAAATATCAAAAATGTAACGAACAATTAACTTATTAACATACTAGCAACCTTACCTTTCATCTGAACGGGTTCTGTGGATATTATTAGTAAATTTAATGGTTGAATTCATGAGTGAATTAAAGCTAGACCAACATGAAATACATGGAAGCACTGGATGGTCATTTCGTCCAATTGTGGAACTTTTCAGCAATGCGCATACACGATCATGCCCCCGCCAGATTCGAATCCAGGACTAATCGGTCTCATGCGCAAACGCTTAATCTCTAGACTACTAAGCTGATCGGTATCCAATAATGTTAATGTCTAACTTCAGATAATCCACACAATTGAGCGACACATCCACCATTGTTTTCAGTAAGTTACTATCTCACAACAGATCTGGTTGAACTCCACTGGTCACTGTTTCTCATTAGAACTCTATGAAACAGCTCTTGGAGACAGTAACTAGTCAGCATATGTTGATTATAATGAAAGAGGGGTTTTGTGGATATTATAGTAATTGAAAAGCAGAGTAGTGGAAAAAATTAACTATTAGACAACATGATACCAATGAATGTCCCTGCCCCCTCATCTTCGCCTGCGTGAATATCAATTAGCTATCAAACGCCATGATATATCTTCGCTTATATCAATGTATATGGACAATATTCAACTAGAAAAAAAATGCTAAGAACACGAATTTCTAGAAGCTTGGTATTCCTATTAAGTCAATCAGTAATCAACAAACACATTGAAATCGATTTGATTTATCAGTCAATAAGAAAAAGGCATTAACAATAATGAAGCTAAACACCGAACCAAAAGGAAATACAATCATAATAAAGAGTCAGATAATAATAGGTGGAAAGGTTAACAATAAACAATCAAGATTGAAGTCAACAGGATAAGCTGTGAATCCTATATGAAGAAATAAGAATATTCCATTTTAACCTGTAGTTTGTTTGAATAATGTTGTTCAGAAGAACTCCATGACCAAACCATTCAGTTCAGAAAACAAAACTCCATCTGAGCTAAAAATCTTCTCCATTATCTCAAGTTGGTTAGCGTTTTACAACCTGTGTTTATACCACCACAACATTTCAGAACAAACATGAACAGAAGTACATTGAAAATCTACAATTTCATCTGTTACAACCTACCTCCTCATCATTCAATCTAATACAAATGAAATTTAGTAATAGACAATGACTATTTAACAATAATGACATACTTTCAAAGTTGAATTCATGAATTGATCTCAGCTAGAGCACGATTGAAAACCTGGAAGCACTGGACGGCTGTTTCCTCCTAGTACGGGACTCCTCAGCAATGCACACCAACTATCTTGCAAGCAATGACCGAACCCATTACCTTTAGTCTTGCGCCCGAACACTTAACCTTTAGACTGCTGAGCCGACATACAACAGTGTTAATGTCTAACTTCAATCGATCCATGATCTTGTGTCCAATGCTTCCAAAGTTTTCAATGGTGGTGGTCTAGCTTAGATTGGCTCGTGAATTCAACTTTCAAGATATTACAATCTTCATAAATCTCCGAAATTGATTATTAAACACATGAGTAGTGCATGAATTCCTAATTATCAAACGACTTCTCATATGACCAATTTATTTTTTTATTTACTAATTATGTATAATAAAAACTTGTAATAATGCAACTTCATGAAATATAATTATTGAGTGATTCAACATGTTCCACTACGGTGTTCCGTATACTTTACTCCTTCGATGTCTTTTAAGACAAATAAGAGGTGATTACTGTGTATTCAGAGATAGAGGTGCCAATATGAGCATATATATATTGAATATACACTCGTTAAATGCCTGTAAAACAGAAAATTTATTGCAATTTTGCAAATTTAGCGCTGAGAACTGTAATCAAGCTCAGGGTATTGAATCTTACAAGTGTTCTTCTCATTAGAAGATATCCAACTATGTTACACGATACAAACTTCTGTACTCAGATGACAACTAGAGTTCTAATAACTTACAATTGATGATTCTATTCAACTGTTCAACTCGATATGAGTGGATTATTTGAAATTTATAACATAACTGTTGAAATTCAAATCAATAATGATCTTAATCAGGAACCAAACTACTGAATTACTTCATAAGATAGATTTAGTCACACGTTCATGCGCATGCACACACACACACATAATGACATGAGACCAACAGAATGTAATAAACCAACAAACAAACGAAACATAAAAAAACAAAAACACTACCTAACAAACATGAACCGTTATAAAATTGGTGTCTCTCTCTATATCAGCAAGTAGTGTTGATTTATTAGAATATACCCAAAAAGAATTCAATATGAACTATAATGTGCTGGTAGTTAGATTAGAATGAAAGCAATAAAGAAATACTCTCTCAAGGTACATAATATGTGTGCCCGTATATTTGTGCCAATACATGAAATAATATTGATTAAATAACACTAATTTAATCGATCGACAATCATTTAATAACGTGCTTAAATTTTAATTATCAAATTCCTGACTGCTTCAGTAGTCTACAATCATTAAGGTAATCTTAGGTTTTTCCCAATAAATCAAGTATTTTTTTTGTTAAACAGATAGGAAAAGAATTGGTAGTCAAGCAACAATTTAATAGTTAGTTTTCTTAGAAAACAGATTTTCTTTAAAAAGGTAAAACAAATCATTTGTGTTTGTTAACTACCACCACTACTATTATTATTATTAATGCCCCCGGATGCCGTGGTAAGACTGAGAGTGGGGAGAGTTCGCTCTACCTCTCCAAATGCTCTCACATCGCCACGTGCATATAGCCTCTGACAGGGAAGTCCTACTCACTGCATCCTCACACCGCGGGTATTGTTTATGAGATTCAGAGGACGAAAAGCGAGTGTCCGGTGCTTTAACCGGGTTGGTCGACACGGTGAGTCCAAAAACCCTCATTCCAAACCAATGGTGCACATCGGCTACAGGATCTTGAGGGAACAAATGGCGTATGGACCAATCGATGGTCAACGGCTACCATGGCACTGCATTTCCTCATCTTGCTCCACTGTCTTGTGGATCAGACCTTTCGGCCAAAGGCTCCGGGTGTAACCGCCTAAGTGAACCACCTACTTCGTTCTGCGCACCCGGGCAGTATCATAGCCCTCACAAAAATTAAATGAGATTTATGTGGCGCATATCTATGTGGTGCCTCCTTGTATCAATGCTTATGTGTTCAAATAAATAAATAAACTACTACCAATACTACTTAAATAAAGTATATTGATTTGTAATTTAGCAGTGAAATTTAGGAATGATATAATAATATATATTAGTCGAATCGCCTACCATAAAAGATTTTATACACTGAAAAGTCAAATGAATAAGCAACAAATATCAACTCTCGAATTTAGATATATATCCAGTACCAAACGGGACGAAACATACTTCATTAACTCTACTGCTAGCTATATTCCATCTGTTCTACGTAAACTTATGATATAATAACTATATCGAATCAATCCGCATAGAGATCAAATAAAACTGATCAGAATTCAGTTAAACTATTAATAACGAGATAATCTGAAAGCATTAAAAATTCAATCAAATTTTATGGCTTAAAACCTTTAATCAATCCAGTAATTGATATATGCATGGAGATTCGGAATTGACTAATTTTGCTTACAACAGAGATTCCAACATTCAGATAAGAATGTAAAATAGAATAGCATGAAAGATTAATACAAGTCTATAGCGCCGTAATTTTCATGACACTTCACTCGAGTAACTTATTGTTATTTATTTAAACATACAAACATTGGTACAAGGAGGTACCGAATACACATGCACCACAAAAATCACTCGATTTGTGTGAGGGCTGGGATACTTCCGAGGTATCCAAACTGAAGCCGATGGTTTTATGTGGCCACACCCGAGCCTTCGACCTAAAGGTCTGATCCATAGAGCAGTGGAGCAACGTGAGGAGATCCAGACCCATGGTATCCGGTCACCAACAATAGGCTAATACGCCATTTTTCCTTAGGATCCTGCAGCCCATGTACATTGTTGGTTTGTGATGATGGTTTTCCAACCCCCCTGGGTGGATCCTCCGTATCCACCAACCTGGTTAAAGCACCGGACATTCGATTTTCGTCCTCTCAATTTCGTAAACAACACCCTGCCCCGTGAGAATGCAGTAAATAGGAGTTCCCTGGCAGTGGTCGTATGTACGTGGCCATGTGAGAGCATTTGAAGAGGGAGAGCTGACTATTCCCACCCTCGGCCGTACCAGGACATAAGATAGTCTTTAACATCGATTCAATAATTAACTCAATACATTAAATCAAGTTGCCATACGTCACATTAAAATAATAAGAAAATGTTATCAAGACGAAAAATCAAGGTAGCTATGACAATGATGAAAATGAGAAAAATTTAATCTAATCCAATTCCTCTCATATGGCCACATATACATAACCATTACCAGAGAAGTTCTACACACTACCTTCTCACAGTGAGGGTATTCACCACGAAATTGAGAGAAGGAAAAGTGAAAATTCGGTACTTAAGTCGGGTTGGTTCGGAGGAGTTCGGAAACTATGATTCCAAACCACTGGTGCATATCGACATCAGGAACATGGGGAAACAAACTGTTTATGAACTTATTCTTGGCCGTAGGTGGCCACGAATGTGAAGCTTTTATGATTTACTTCAGGATGGGTCTGCATACTTGTGTTTACTTTTACGGAGTTCTTATTTTTTGGAGTTAGATCAATCTCGGTGTTTTAATGTGAAAAAACATTGCCGTTAAGAATAACTGGAAGGTTTCCTTTATCTTTAACAAACATCATTTATAGTAAGAATTATTTAACTCCACGTGTGGGAGAAGCATTCTCTGAAGCTACTTATATTTAATGGATATTTAGAACACTCTACATACATCATTTCTACTATGAACAACTAAACAAATGTTAAAATGATCAAACATACTCATTTGTTGCGGTCGAAGTGCATCCCATTCCTGTAGTTTGTGTGGTACAATCCCAGATGTTAAATTAATAGGAAATGTCCCTTCAATCCAACACAGATTAGTAATATAAGAATCTGCATTGACTCCACTCACTGTTGTCGGTAAATAACACACTAATGGAGTCATAAAATATTGTCTCATTGTTACTAAAACCATGCATAGTAGTAGTACAATAACATTCCATTGAAAATTTGCTCGATCAGCTAAATCTTCAAATCCAACAAAGTTACATACAGAAAATGATTGAATATAACCGAGAAATTCTGAAGCAACCATATTGTATGAAAAATGTTAATTCTGAAATGAAAAGACAAAAGAAAGCAAACGTAATGTTAACGTTCAAGATCATAATTGATCGAGTTCTGTTTGCATATATAGACATTATAAGAGAATAGTACGAACACGAAATTAGCTTAAATCAAATAGCTGATATCAAGTCTTATCACAGTAACCTCAACAGTGTAGTGAACATGATATCATTCATTGTCGTTCATGTTTAAATTGTCCATTGATTGAATATTCAACATGAATATATCAGGAGTTTTTATGGACAGAAAAGCCGTCCAGTGCTCTCGAGTTCTCAATAGTGGTCTAGCTTCAATTGACTCAAGACTCGCTCAGGTGCGAGATCGTAGACGCACATTGCTGAGGAGTCCTATACTAAGACAAAACGTCCGTTCAATGTTCTCAGGTTTTCAGTGGTGATTTGGCTTGGATCAATCAATGAATACAACCATCCGACTATTAAAATTACTATAATATCCACAAAAACTCCTTCTGACACTAGTCAGCACATGCTCACTAGTTACTGTTTCCAAGAGCTATATCCTGGAGTTCTAGGGAGAAGCAGTGACTAGTGAAGATCAACCAGATCAGTTGTGAGATAGTAACTCACTGAAAACAATGGTGAATGTGTCGCTCAATTTGGTGGATTGGTTGAAGTTAAACATTAACACCATTGGATACCGGCCGGCTCAGTAGTCTAGAGATTAAGCGTTTGCTCACGAGGCTGATTAGTCCTGGGTTCGAATCTGGCGGGGGTATGATCGTGGATGCGCATTGCTGAAAAGTTCCACAATTGGACGAAATGACCATCCAGTGCTTCCATGTATTTCATGGTGGTCTAGCTTCAATGGACTCATGATCTCAACTATTAAAATCAATAAATTATTCTTGAAAATAAAACACACACTCATATTAAGCATTATGATCCTTAATTAGTGCATTTATACACCAAATTAGCAATGGAGAAATTTATTAGCTAAAAGAAATCACAATGTTTTAGTAATATTGACCGTTTGAAACATGTTTCTCAGATTTGACCTCTAGTTTAATACACTAAGACAGTTTCGCAGTTTGTCTGATGAACAAAAAAAATGATTACTGTAATTACTATGAAAACCGATAAAACGTATTATAATCCAGTTAGATACAAGTGTAAGGGATGTTTTGGATGATATTGCTAACTGTAGTGTAAACAGTCGAAACTAATGAAATTAGTCTGTGAGTTATTGAGCTAAATTTAATCCGAACAAAGGCTCTTTTTGTCTGGAAGAAAAAAACATACTCTGACATTGTCAAAGTCTTGGCAGAACTAGATTTAGTTATTTGGTTGGTTAAAAATGATGAAAAATTAAGAAAAAATGACACTAACTCAGCTACGCTCGATAAAATAATACCAAGTATTGTATGGACACAAAAGTGCATAACAGACGTGAACTGTTGTCAAAAAAGCAAACATGGATGGTGTCTAGCAGTGGAATCCAGGACGAGCGTTACGTAACGTTTAGAACTCATCAGCTGGATGTATCTGCAGCCCAGAGTTGATGTTCATTTCGAGACTCGAACCAAGTATCATTCGCTTCAAACTCTATCACATTATCCACTTAGCTACTGAGTCCTGATAGCCACCATCCGTCTTTGCAATATCGAGGCGATTCGCACAGGATGCATATATACCAATAAGAGACTGATCATCAATGGGAAGATTTAAACAAAAAATACCTAATGATTAATGTCACAAAAGGGTTTTTCGTGGAAATTATAATATTTTAATAGTGAATGTCATGGATCAATTGAAACTAGACTACCATGAAAAACCTGGACGACCGTTTCGTCCTAGTATGCGACTCGTCAGCAATACGTGTCCTGTTTCAATACCAAATGAAAGCTATTATCGAATAGCTTAGTGCAATATTTTGTTAATCTACTACTATCAATGATTGACTATTAAAACCATTAATTAATAAACTGATTTATGATTTTTTTTTCTCAGAAAATAAACCAACACAACAATTTACTAAACGTTTGTTATGACCTAATTTTAACCAACTTCCTTTCTTCTTGTTTCTATCCCTTTTTCTTTGTACTTTTAATGTTATACAATGAAAAACAAAACCATCATAACAACTATTATACTTATTTATTCATTTGAAAATCCTGTTACTGTTATTTTCTTTGATAGATTTATGTAGTGTCCTTAATTGTGTGTAATGAATTGACGTTGTTTGTTGATGAAATGACATGTTGTATGGTGTTTGACATTAATCTGTTATTTAACACAATATGATACACATGATATATCTTATAAACAATTGTAATATTATTATCAGAATGGGTTTTGTGGAGATTTTTAGAAATTTCAGTGGTTGAAATCATGAGTCAATTGAAGCTAGACCACCATGGAAAGCCTGGAAGCACTGTATGGTTGTTTCGTCCTAGTGTGGGACTCCTCAACTTCGTGGATTGGTTGAAGTTAAATATTAACACCGTTGGATGTCGATCGGCTTAGTGGTCTAGGTGATTAAGCGCGAGACTGATAGGTCCTGGGTTCGAATCTCGCGAGGCGGGATCGTGTATGCGCACTGCTGAGGAGTCCCATACTAGGACGAAACGGCTGTCCAGTGCTTCCAGGTTTTCCATGGTGGTCTAGCTTCAATTGACTCATGATCTCAACTATTGAAATTACTATAATATTCACAAAAATCCCATTCTGATATAAATCTAGTTGTGTTTTTTTTACTAGTATACAATTGCATTCCTTAATTTGAAATCTACACTTTACGGAAGAATAAAGAAAATCACATATCAGTTCATTAATGAAGTTGAAAATTTTTTTAACAAGGTTGTTTTCTACGGGACAGGGCCGTTAACTCCATCCCTAACCCTCCTCCTTTACCCAGTTTTGGGACCGGCGATAAAAGTGGAGAACCACTACAACTGTCACCAGAAAAAAAGTACAGGTATTTATAAATAATTGTTTACGCAAGAAACTCAATGTCCATTGACCAGACAGCATCAGCAACAGTCTAGTGTGGGAGAGAACAAACCAATTACCGGATGAAGATGAAATTAAGAAAAGCCGATGGAAGTGGATAAGAACTACATTATGGAAATCACCAAACTACATCACGAATTAAGCGCTAACTTGGAATGCTGAAGTAAAAGAGAAAAGAGGAAAGCCAAAAGACACTAGGTCGAGAATTGGAAAGAATTGCCCGGGACAGAGTTCGGTGGAGAATGCTGGTGGGAGGCTCCTCCCCACAAGGGGTAACAGAAGTAAGTAAAATTTTTGTCCTGTTTAATCTACAGTATCACTTGAATTCTTTCAATCAACTCCCATACAACGTGACAATTCAGATAAGCGTAACTCGGTATCGCGACACATCGTAGTTATTTAGAGACTATTGGTCAACTGGCTTAGGAACCATATAAAATATTTCATTCATAAAATCCTACTGTATGACAAATATATGTGCCTAGTCCTAGAAGTTTTGTGAAGAAACAAGAAAATAGAGTTAGTGACCTAATCAAGAAAAAGTTATAATCCATTTATATAAAAAGGCTCAATTCGAGCTATAATGTTGCCAAGTGATATGTATTAAAGTCCCTTAAGGACCAGACGTTTACACGAGATTACAGATAGATTTTGACTAGGAGTGAAAAAAAAAAATTTTAACTTCCAATTTAATGCTTCCCAAGCTATTATCTTGAATAACTAAATGATCGTTATCAGTGTTCTATTATTATGCAGCGGGCAACATGCGCTCATGCTTGGAACAAACGAGATGTAGAATTGTTGAAGTCAAATTTTACCTTCATATCTCTTGTCGAATAGCGCTGATTCTTGTTTTATCTTAATGTTGACGACCTCAGTTGTTGGATGTTAGACCACCATTCAAAACCTGGAAGCACTGGACGACCGTTTCGTCCTATTGTGGGATTCCTCAAGCACTGCGCATCTCCAATCCCACTCGCAGGATCCGAACCCAGGGCATTTAGTGCTTCCAGATTTTCAATGTTAGTCTAACATCAATTGGCTCATGATCTGGATCAAAAACTTAATGATCTCCACAACCCTATACTGATTGTAAAATTATCAAAAAAATCTCCACTTCTGGTTTGTGAGGAATAAAACTGACCAATCAGTTCAATAACAATAAACGATTCAATGAATTCTATTGATTAGTGTAACCGGAACTAGTAATGTGTATAATGGAAACTATTTGAAACATTACAAAATAATTGAATAAACAAAATTTACTCGGATTAATATTTTCCCTTAACTAGATTATATTTTAAAGGTTATCAGAATGGGTTTAGTGGAGACATGAAGTTGAAGTTAGACATTAACACCGTCGGATGCCGGCCGGCTCAGTGGTCTAATGGTCAAGCGCTCGTGCGCGAGATTGATAGGTCCTGGGTTCGAATCTCACGGGGGGGGTCGTGTACGCGCACTGCTGAGGAGCCCCATGCTAGGACCTAACGGTCGTCTAATGCTTCCAGGTTTTCCATACACGTATATGTATTAAGTAACTTAAACAAATCCATGTATGTAGGTACTTGATATTATTAGTTTGATAAATGAGTAAATAACTAACCAGTTCATTATAATGAACTATAAGTGTTAAAACTAACAAGTTAGATTCACATTGATTATTAACACATTTGACTATTCGGCACCATTTTTTGTTGTCATAAATGTCAAAACTATCGTTTATGTACACAAACACACCTGTGTTCAATGTAATAAGGTTACGAAATCATTGAAAATTCTAAAATAACTCTAGTTGATAAGTAAATAACTTGGTCAACAGTTATTTATTTACTTCAACATATAAACATTGGTACACAAAGGCACTAAATACATATACTCCATACAAATCACTTGATATCTGTGAGGGCCTAAATCAAAACAGGTGAGTTTCTGAAGTGACCAGTTCCCAAGACTTAGATCCATAGATTTAATATACAGAGTAACGGAGCGATGTTGGGAGATTAGGTTTCATTCGAGTCAA